AGGAAGCTTTTCAATATCTAGGGTGACTAGCTTTAGCCAAACTACAGCTGTTCGAAAAAGGGAATTGAGCAGAGAAGAATGGGAGTACTTTGAGTTTCTGAAATTAATCGAATCACCGTGAAATAGAGAATTTTGGTTGTGCTGACTTCCAGATCGCTTGAAAATGAAAAAAAAATAAAAGGCTTTCTACAAAATTGAGCTTAAAGTGGTGTAAACTGGAAAGTTGCGTAATTGAACCGATCTTATCTTTGCCTAGTCGTCGTGAAATAGAGAATTTTGAGTGTTGTGCGTTCCAGATCGCTTGAAAATGATAAAAAAACAAAAGGCTTTCTGGAAAATTGGGCTTAATTTCCGGTAAACTGAAAAGTTGCGTAATTGAACCGAGCTTTTTTTGCCTAGTCATCGTGAAATCGAGAATTTTGGCTGTACTGACTTCCAGATCGCTTGAAAATTTTTAAAAAACTAAAGGTTTTCTGGAAAATTGGGCTTAAAGGAGCGTAAACTGGAAAGTCGGGTAATTGAACCGAGCTTATCTTTGCCTAGCGGTCGTGAAATAGAGAATTTTGGCTGTACTGACTTCCAGATCACTTGAAAATGTTGAAAAAACAAAAGGTTTTCTACAAAATTGAGCTAAAAGTAGCGTAAACTGTAAAGTTGCGTAATTGAACCGAGCTTTTTTTTGCCTAGCCGTCGTGAGATAGAGAATTTTGAGTGTTGTGCGTTCCAGATCGCTTGAAAAAGCCAAAAAAGTTAGAAGTTTTTTTGGAAATCATCGAATTAAAGCTAGGATAAGCCTAATCTATACTATGAATTTCTGAAATTAACCGAGTCACCGTGAAATCGAGAATTTTGGTTGTGCTGACTTCCAGATCGCTTGAAAATGATGAAAAAAGTTAAGAGATGTGTTGAAATCATCAAACTAACGTTATGATAAGCTATCTTTAGGTAAGTAAACCGAAATTTGAATGTTTTCGATGTTTTCTTTTGCTTTGCCTGCACAGTCGGATTTCTTTAAAAATGAAATTTTCTCATTTTTCGATAATCCGGGAGAAGTTATGACGCAATTCTTAATCCCAGATTCACCTGGGATTTCCAAGAGATTTTGTTTTCAAATTTATAGAAAACAAAACATTGATCAAAGTTTTTTCCGTATCCAATTCTCGTAAATCTCTCATTTTTGGATGAAATAATGAGAAGAAATTGATCGGGGAGTGACGGGAAAAGGACGGGAAAAGGAAACGGAGAAAGGAGAGAACAGCTGAAGTGACACAGGTGGATTGGATTGGTTGGAGTGGATTGGATTAGTTGGATTGGGTTGACTGGATTGATTGGAATGACTTTTACCCACTCATAAAGGTAGGCAAACGTAAACGCACTCATAAAAGACCATAAGAGGCGAAAAACGATCGTTTCTCCGTGATGACGTCATTTTCAAAAAATCAAAATCAAGTCCCCCCTCATTTAAGCAAATTTTTTCCAAAAAACTATTTGTTTTTTCATCGTTTTCAGCCGATCTGGAAGGCACAACAGCTAGAAAGCGCAATTCCAAGTGATTCCAGGTGATCTGCATTTTCAGCATTTCTATCTTTAGCTCTGTGGAGCCTTGATTGGATTAGTTGGATTGGGTTGACTGGTTTGGGTTGCCTGGATCGATTGGAATGACTAGATTGATTGGGTTGACTTTTGGCAAAGGTAAACGCACTCATAAAAGACGATTCCGCAGTAAAAACGATCGTTTCTCCATGATGACGTCATTTTCAAAAAATCGAAATCAAGTTCCCCCTCATTTAAGCAAATTTTTTCCAAAAAACTACTTGTTTTTTCATCGTTTTCAGCCGATCTGGAAGGCACAACAGCTAGAAAACGCAATTCCAAGTGATTCCAGGTGATTTGGGTAATTTTCAGCATTTCTATATTTAGCTCTGAGGAGCCTTGATTGGATTGGATTGCTTGGCTTGACTGGCTTTATTGGATTGACTGGATTGACTGGAATGCCTGGATTGACTTTTGGTAAAGGTAAACCCACTCATAAAAGACGATTCCCTAGTAAAAACGATCGTTGACCGGTAATGACGTCATTTTCAAAAATCAAAATCAAGTTCCCCCTCCTTTAAGCGGATTTTTTCCAAAAAACTACTTGTTTTTTCATCGTTTTCAGTCGATCTGGAATGCACATCAGCTAGAAAACGCAATTCCAAGGTGATTTGGGTAATTTTCAGCATTTCAGTATTTCTATGTTTAGCTCTGTGGAGTGTGAAGCTGCCCGAGGCCGAAAATTACCCTAATGGCTGTGAGATACGAAGAAAAATGGCCAAAAAATAGAATGCAATCGAATCCGGCTCTCTAGCCACATAATTGATTCGTTTTCTACCGAAAAACCGAGCGCAAAACACGCGACAACAATTCCCGCGGCTAATTGCTCGGGGATTTCGTGATCGACGCGAAAAATTGCTCTCAGAAATCCCTCGCCGCGAAATTTCCGTCACCAAACGCCTAATTGGAACGCAGTTTTTCAAGAAAACGTCAAATATTTGAGAAATTTTTGATTTTCGCTCGGTTCAGTTACGCAGCTTCTTGCTCGCCGTGTTTTAAGGGCATTTTTCGAATAGAATTTTTATTTTAACACTCACCGTTGCTCAAGCTGGAGCGCACGCTAATCAAAATTTGCAAAAAAAGAAAAATTCGATTCAAAAATTCAAAAAATCGGTTTAGTTACCCAACCGGGAGCAATTGATAGTCAAAATAAAGGAATTCGCAAAATAAAACTCTGATTTTATTATTTCATTGCTCTAGCTGGAGCACAGGACATCCAAATTTAGTATTAGATTTCAGAAAGTACGTCATTTGGTTAAGTCTCGTAGCCTGGGCGGCCTTGGAGTCGGATACTCCAGCTCCCCAGGGCCGACCCTCCAAAAACCGAAAAACACCTGCCCATACTTATAATTCTCGTAAAGTGCGCTCCAGCTTTTAGCTTTCCATTGAGAAAATGAGAAACCGACCTGCTAGAACTAATCAAATTAACCAGCTATGATTCGAGATATCGATTTTCGAGGAATCGCAGTCAAAATAAAGGAATTCGCAAAATAAAATCCTGATTTTATTAGCTTATTGCTCTAGCTGGAGCACAGGTCATCCAAATTTAGCATTAGATTTCAGAAAGTACGTCATTTGGTTAAGTCTCGTAGTCTGGGCAGCCTCAGAGTCGGGTAGACCCCCAGGGACTCCAGCCACCCAGGGCCGACCCTCCAAAAACCGAAAAACACCTGCGCATACTTATAATTCTCGTAAAGTGCGCTCCAGCTTTTAGATCTCGATTGGGAAAACGAGAAATCGACGCGCTAGAACTAATCAAATTAACCAGCTATGATTCGGGATATCGATTTTCGAGAAATCGCAATTCCTGTGGAAATTATTCGATCATTCTCGTAAAGTGCGCTCCAGCTTTTAGCTCTCCATTGAGAAAATGAGAAATCGACGCGCTAGAACTAATCAAATTAACCAGCTATGATTCGAGATATCGATTTTCGAGGAATCGCAATTTCTGCGGAAATTATTCGATTTTTGGCCTCAATGCCTTCCAATTCGATGGCCCCGGGCTGCAATTTGGCGAAAAATGGCAGACTCCTGCAAAATTTTTGAGTGAAAAAATTCGCGGGTTAAAAGGAAAGAGAGGCGGAGAACCAATTCAATCCAAAACCGCAAAACGGGGCTCCAAGCCGGTTGAAAACGATTGAGAATGCATTTCAGAAAAGTTGTTAGCTTTGAGGAAATAGGTGTTAAAGAAAGGAAATGGAAAGAAAAAAAAAGAAAAAGGCGAAAAATTCGGTTTAGTTACGCAATAAAAGTGATTGTTGGTTTAAGTTCGGAAATTTGAAAATGAAAGTCTCATTTCTTCATTTTAACATGCGAATTGGAACGCACAAGGAGGGAATTTAAAGAAAAGAAAAGAATTTGAAAGAGTTGAAAAAAGTCGATTTGGGTTTTGGCATTTTGGGGCTTTAAATGGAAATTTTCATTGTTTAGCTCTTTTGTTAATTTAATTTTTGTGAATCCTGGATTTCAACAAATCAGGACTGGACCTTTTTCCAGGAATTTCCACACTTTTCAAATCCAATCTTTCAAAAATATTGAATCCTGGAAGGCACTTGGAAAGAATTTAATCTTAAAATGAGAGAATTTCCAATTTTCAAAAAAACTTTTTTCAACAAATCAGGACTGGACCTTTTTCCAGGAATTCCGACACTTTTCAAATAAAATCTTGTAAATTTTTATGCTAATTGGAGCTCATTCAAGACTAGAATTGAGTGATTAAACCGTAAATTTCACTTCAGAGAAATTTTGGGTAAGCTGTACCTTTAGGGTCGAGAAGGAAATCAAAAAATGGTTTTATTGTGGAAATGTCTTTCCACATAAGCTCAAAGTACAATAATTCACTTTTTTATGTCCAAGACTTGACTAACGAAGGTTTTCCCCCCATTTGGTTTTTCTATTTATTTTTATGAATCCAATTATGGGAGTCGTGCTTGATTCTCATTTTAGATCCAGAGATTTCAGAAAAATATTCTCATGCTGCAAAAAGGATTGTACTTTTGCAATGAAAATTGATCAATTAGATCATTTCCTCAAGAGAATTTAAGGGAATTTCGTAAAATTTCATTTTCTTTTAAAATCGAAACTTTTTAACGAAATCCGCCTACATTAGGCCACTTTTTAAAAACGTGAGAATCGGGATATTTGGGAATTTTGTGAGTTTTAGTCATGTCATTTCATCGATCGACTACTTTTAAATGCTCTTCTTTGAAAATTTTCTCAATTCTTGACTCTAGTCCTACAAATTTACGCCAAAAAGCCAAATTTTTAGATTTGTTTTTCTTCTTGAAGAAAAATTTCCTTAAAAACTTCGAAATAGAAACGAAATTTTGTTTTTAATGGCCAATCTGGATATCACAAAAGACTTTTAGAAAGGAAAATCTGAGTTTTATAACTTTCCGAAAATTTCAGAGAATCGCTGCGAGCGTGACGGGCAACATTGCGCTAAATGTGATGCTTTTCTTGCCGATGATCATTTTGTGAGTTGAATTGGAAGTCACAACGTGTTTCTAGATAAAAGATAATCGCTAAAATAGCGGATTTCTAATTCGGTATACGGTAATGAGAGTGTTTTATAGAAACGCCATCATCGTCTACCTTTGCTACCAATTTTTACCCCTACAGGCACTTTGTAATCAGGTAAAAATGTGATTGGAACTTACAAATTAGCGAAAAGAATCTGTTTTTGACGTTTATCCAACAAATTTTCTCATTTTTACAGAAATTCCACGAAGAGGAGATTTCGAATCTGGTTTGCTTCGGGAATACGGCTCAGGTGAGGGAATTTCGAGAAAATTTTGAGCTTAATGGCTGATCTGGATGTCACACAAGAGATTTGGAAAGAAAGATTTGAAATACATAGACTTTCACAGATAGCGCAGTGGTTAAGCGCTTAGGTAATGGTAAGCGCGCGACCCTGGTTCGACCCCGGTGCTGGTTTTTTGAGCCGCTGATCTGGCTGTCACACAAGAGTTTTGGAAAGTGAAATTTGAAATACATAGACTTTCACAGTTAGCGCAGTGGCTAAGCGCTTAGCTAATGAGCGGTTCGACCTAGCGGTTACCCTGGTTCGACCCCGGTGCTGGTTTTTGAGTCTAAATTTTTTGGAAACAAGCCTAGAGGTCTTTGTGACATCCAGAATGACCAAATCCAGAATGACCAATTTCAAAGTTCAATTTAGCTCTGGCTTTTCGTTGCATTGGCCATACTCCTTCTCAACTCTGCATATCTATTCATTTCCGCCGCTTGCGGGGTCCCTTTTTTCATCTCCGGGAATCAGAATCACTACGAGATTTCGAGAAATTGTCCAGAAAAACAGGAAGAGGGTGAGAATTTCTTGATTCTCTCGTCAACGGTGACGAAAGCTGAGGTGAGCGAAGAGTTTGAGAGGAAAAGTTGGTCAAAAAAGAGAGCTATGCTAGTTTTATTTTGAAAAATGGTATTTCTGGGATACACAGTTGCATGCAAATAGCTTATTGTAGCCTGAAAGCAAAAGAATTGTAGAAGACTGCACCCGGGATTGAACCCGGGTGGAAAAAATCGTTAGAAAAGAGCCTAGCTTAATTTTATCTATGAAAGTGCGGGTTCTGGGAGGCACACTAGAAATTGGATAATTTTTTAATTCATTTAGATGACCGAGGAGTCTCCGTTGTGACAGAAGCCAAAGACGCGATTTCAAAAAATTTCAAAAATTTCAAAATTGTCAAAAATTTCCCATTTTTTGTTTAAATCCCTTCATGCCCTCCAGGATTTCGAATTTTCGAGTCAGAATTTGTTTTCCGAATTTCAGAAGCTTTAAAAAGGCCTGAATTCGTTCTTTTTTTTGTTTTTTCGTTTTTGAGCTTAAAAGCTTTGAATTTTTTACAAAAAAAGACACAAAAATTGTCAAAAATTGGCTGAAATCCAAAAGCTTTCATATTTCTCTCATCATTTTCTCTGTTCTTTTCCTAGAACACTAAAATTCTCCGTTTCTATTTTTGTTGGATGAAAATTTTTCCTTATTTTTTGCTAGGCGACCCGTTTGAAAAATGAGGAAACTGCAAGAATTTTGCGAATTTTTTTGAATTCTGGCTTTTATTCTGTAAATTTTTTGCATTTGTCTGGAAATAGGCAAAAAAAAATTGCATAAATTTTGAGAAAATAAAATTTTCAAGGAAAACCTGGATAATTTTCTGCTTTAGTGTCTCGATGATGTCGCTTTGAGCCTAAAAATTGATTGCTGTAGGTTTAAAAAAGATTACTGTAGCTACAGTAGCCTAAAAGGTGCTCTTTTTGAATGAAAAAGGGTTACTGAGGGGTTCTCTTAGCCTAAAAAGTGCTAATGGATAATTTTCTGCTTTAGTGTCTCGGTGATGTCGCTTTGAGCCTAAAAATTGATTACTGTAGGTTTCAAAAAAGATTATCGTAGCTACAGTAGCCTAAAAGGGGCTCTTTTTGAATGAAAAGGGGTTACTGAGGGGTTCTCTTAGCCTAAAAAGGTTCTCTTAGCCTAAAAAGTGCTCTGTTTAAAAGCAGAATACTGTAGCTTCTTCTTGAAGCTAAAATTTGCTCTTTTTTACAGAAAAGAGGACTATTGTTGCTTTTTTTCGTTGATCTGGATGTCACACTAGAATTTCTGAGAATCAAATTTTGATTTCCGACAATTTTGTAGTTTACGTTATCAAATGGTTACTGTAGATTTTGCTGCACTTTAGACTGACTTTACTTTACTTTACTAGACTTTACTAGGTTGCCATAACTGACAGTAAGTGATTTATCTATATCTATAGCTCTATAGCTAGCTCTATAGCTCTATAGCTAGCTCTATAGCTCTATAGCTAACTCTATAGCTCTATAGCTAGCTCTATAGCTAGCTCTATAGCTAGCTCTATAGCTAGCTCTATAGCTAGCTCTTTAGCTCTATAGCTTACTCTATCTTTTGGCTGACTGAATTGTCTCACTTGGAATTGCCGCTCCAAATGCTCATTGTAGGTTTTGATCTCGAGAATCTCCTCTTGCAAACTCTCGACGATTCCCTTCGATTCGCGTTTCTTGGCCGCTTCGATGAAGATCTGCAAAGTTATATTCGATTATGCATTTGATAGATCAAAAAAAAGGCGTCATCCGGTATTTGGCGTGTTGTTGGTTTGGTTGAGCCTCCTGGTCACATCCTGGTCGACAAATCATAAGCCACTCACCTCGTACTGATGGCACTTCTCTAGAGTGCTCGCCAGCCTGTACTTTGTCTCTTCATATCTTCTCTCCAAATCCGTTTTCATCGTCGGTCTTTCCGCGTCTTTTAGCCGTTTTACTTCGGCCTCAAGGCGAGCGACTTCCTCACGAAGCTGGAAATAAGCAATTAGAGTTTAAAGAGTTTAATAGGCTTCAAAATTTTCGCAAAACCATTTTTCTAACAAAGGAATGAATCGTGTAATCATCGCCAAACTGGCATAAACGTTTTGAGCTCTTCTAAGCCTTCTAAGCTCTCCTTTTAAGCCTCTCCTTCTAAGCCTTTCCTTCTAAGCCTCTCCATCTAAGCCTCTCCTTTTAAGCCTCTCCTTTTCAAGACGTTCATTGTTGGCCGAATGGCTGACTGCTTGTGCAACAAGCTGAGGGTTAAGAGTTCGAGCCCAATCCGTCGCACTTTTTTTGCTTTTTTCCATTATACGTTCTTTTGTGTTCTTTTTGGGTTCACATAAACGCTTTTCTCCTGTTCGATTGTAGTTTGTCATTCTTGTTAAACATTTAATAGCTTGTCAATGTACAGGGTACGGCATAATTGTCGCAACAAGTTATCACGCGCTTGCTACTCTGCGATCAGGAGCACATCAATCGCTACGAAAGGGATGATCTCAAAATAACGATCAAGGTGGGGGTTCTGGAAAGTACCTTGTACATTGACAAGCTATTAAATGTTTAACAAGAATGACAAACTACAATCGAACAGGAGAAAAGCGTTTATGTAGACGCACAAAGAACACAAAAGAACATAGAATGGAAAAAAGCAAAAAAAGTGCGACGGGTTGGGCTCGAACTCTTAGCCCTCAGCTTGTTGTACAAGCAGTCAACCATTCGGCCAACAATGAACGTGTTGAAAAGAATCGGCTTAAAAGGAGAGGCTTAAAAGGAGAGGCTTAAAAGGAGAGGCTCAAAAACCTTTAAGCCAGTTTGGCGGTGATTACGCTCCATTCGGCAGCTCACTTTTACAGCATTGAAAACAGCGTAAAATTCTGCGTCGAATAGTCTATATGTCGTAGCCGATTATGAATGAAATTTTTTGGTAAATCTTTCTAGTAGAGCAACCCTTTAATGTATGAGGACAATATTATATCATCCTGTAGCGAATTAAATTCTGCGTCGATTGGTACCAAATTTGTGAGTTTAGGTTAAAAATTACCGGCGCTACAACGTTTCATTCAAAATCGGCGGGATCCCCGTAGCCGATTATGAATGAGTGGGTCTAGGAGCGTCCAACCATCAAGTATTTGGTATCATTCAACGCAGAATCATTATTAATTATGTTAAATTTTTAAAATTAGAAAGATTTGATAAAAAGAAAAAAAATTAGAGCAAAAAAACTGTTTGTTCAAGAGGAAACTTTGAGGCCCCATAATTTTTTTTCTTTTTATCAAATCTTTCTAATTTAAAAAATTTAACATAATTATTAATGATTCTGCGTTGAATGATATTAAATACTTGATGGTTGGACGCTCCTAGACCCACTCATTCATAATCGGCTACGACATATATATCATTGAAAAAGGCCACGGGATTCATTCTTCCTATTCATTCTTCCTATTCATTCTTCCTATTCATTCTTCCTATTCATTCCTCCCATTTTCTTATCCAAAGCTTTTAATGACATCCAAAATTGCCAAAAGTTGTTAAAAGCTATAGAAATCCTAATCGAATTCTAAAAATTCGAAACTTTCTTTGACACACCGTTTCCTTCTCCTCATCATTCTCATTTTGCGCTCCTTTCTTCGCCAAGAGGTCCTCCTTTTGTTGCAGAACGATTTTCAGCTTCTCGATATCTTTTAGGTGCTGAAATTTTGGCATTTTCTGAGATTTTTTATTTTCAGAGATTAAAATTTACCCCATCTTTAGCTCTCTCCAATTCAAGAGTGGTCTGCTTCATCTCTGACAGTTGAATCTCTAGCCGAAACGCTTGTTTCCATTTTTGGTTTGACGAGTCGACTTCTTCCTGAAAAATATGAAATTCATATTTTTCTAGTTCTAGTCTAGTTCAATTAACCTGCAATCGGTGGATTCGATCCACGTAATCCTCCTCCCGTTTGCCCCAATCGCGTGACTGAGCCGTGGTTGCTTGGAAAGCCTAAAAAGAGGATAAAGTTGCGCGTTTGAGAGGTTTGCATTCGCAAGTTATTGGGAAAATGCACATGAAATTGCTAAATTTCCAGATCTCCTCAACCAGATTTATCCAGATTTCCTCAACCAAACATCAGATTCCAAAAAGTTTTATGCTCTCCAGCTCAAAAGAGAATCAAAGTTGAGTTGATCGAATGACCAATGACCGAAAAGTTTCTCTATCATTTCATGTCAAAAAAAGTTGTCCCGCTGTTATTAGCTTAAGAGGCAAGAGTGCAGTTTCCCCACGAAAACTTTTGGAAAATAATTTTTTGGAGGTTTTCGACTATGCTGAATCCGAATAATAAAGTCTCGATCACCAAAAACAAAAAATCCTTAGCTTTTTTGGCAAATTTTGCCTTTGTGGGCTAACTAGGAATGCTTTTGGGTTCATATCTTGGTTTTGGGCACAGCACAGCACAGCTTGGCATAGCACAGCTTGGCACAGCACAGCTTGGCACAGCACAGCTTGGCATAGCACAGCTTGGCATAGCACAGCTTGGCACGGCATAGCTTGGCTCAGCATAGCTTGGCACAGCACAGCTTGGCATAGCACAGCTTGGCATAGCACAGCTTGGCACGGCATAGCTTGGCTCAGCATAGCTTGGCACAGCACAGCTTGGCATAGCACAGCTTGGCACATAAAAACGGTGTGACGCAGGTCACTTTCCGGCCTATCACCGGCTAGCACAGGTCGCCGCTATCGCTGTAGTTAACAAATCATCAAACAACTCACTAATCTCCGTCATCCTAGAAGAAAAAAGTAATTAGGTAGTAGTAAAATTGGTATAAGATCAACAAAAAAGAGAAACTAAAAAAAGGGTTTAACTTTTTTGCCTTTGTTCCCGCAAACAAACTTTTCTTTTCCGGTAATCGGGACTATGTTATTCGGATTCAGCATAGTCGAAAACCCCTAGAAAAGTGATATTCAGAAAGTTTTCGTTTCCGGTAATCGGGACTATGTTATTCGGATTCAGCATAGTCGAAAACCCCTAGAAAAGTGATATTCAGAAAGTTTTCTTGGGGCGGAGGTAAACTGCACTCCAGTTTAAACGGTGTTTTAGCGAATAACACAACGTTTTAGTCAAAATCTTTAAAACGGTGTTTTTAAGCTAAAACAATGTGGTGATACCGGGCCCAGGATTCTTGTCAGGGTTAAAATTGACGTCACGATCAGGGTCAGGGTCAGAGCACGTCAATCAAAAAGCTAGTTCTAATCAGTCTGGTTCAAGAGTTCAAGTTGATCAGTGTTCCTAAACAAGACAGGTTGATCAGGTTCTAATCAGACTTCCTTAACAATACTGATTTCAGGATCAGCCCAGAAGCCAGTCTTGGTCAGAATTTGTGTCAGAATCAGGCCTGACCCGATCATGCTTAGGGTTAAGCCAGAACTGGTTGATCCTGGTCTGGACTAGCTCTGGCAGCTCTAGGACAGATCTAGAACAGCTCTAGGACAGCTCTAGAACAAACGCACCTCTTCCAAATTCTCCATATACGCCAGCAGATTCACCACGGATTGTCGATCAGCTAACGGAAGGGATTTCGAGTTTTTCAAATCTTTCAATCTCTCCTTGAGCTCTTTCACTTGTTTTTGATTCTGAAACTTGAGAAATTTAAAAGTTATTCAAGAATTTCTCACCAAATTGCTCCCTGTGGCCTCTTGAGTCTCTTCAAAGGCCTCTTCGGCAACGCTGCCTTCAAGCATTGACTCCTGAACAGAGTTTGAATAGAAATTTACAGTTTCTTAATAATTCCATACTATTTTGAGCAGTTATTTCTCAAATCTGGATGTCACACTAGAATCTCGTACCTGTAAAACCTCCATTTCTGTCGATTTCTCGAGCATCTGGAACTCGATGAGCTCGTTTTGCTCGCGCGAGGCGATCAGCTGAAAGGAAAGAGAGTTTTTAGACTTTAGAAGTGCAAGCTGGAGTGCACAAGGGTTTATGGCTACGTTACAGTACTCTGCGTACATCGCTTTCATAAACTGGACGCTCACCTCGGCTCTCAAATTCTCGACACACTCCTCTAGCTGCCGAATTTTCTCGTGTTGTCGCCCAAGCTTCTCCTGCATCGTTGCAAGCATACCAATCTAGAAGTCTTGGTCTTGTCTGACAATGAGCTGGCTGGCTGAGCTGGCTGGCTGAGCTGGCTGGCTTGGAATTGCTATGAGCCCAGACTCGTAAAAACAACTAATTTACATTAGATCAATCTTGCAAAGACCAAAATTGTAAACATGCTGTTAAGATCGAAATCATTCAATGAATTCAACGAAATGACATCCAGATCTATCAAAAAACACACTTGTTCCTGCTGTCCGTTCAGTTGAATTTGCTGTTGGGCGACTGTTGAGTGGGCCAAAGAGAGTTGTTTTCTAAACAATTGAATTCAAAGCATGCAAAAATCTCAAAAACAGAGAATGACATCCAACTAGGCGAATGAGTCAAAAAAAGGTGTCAGGTTGATGTTTCGAGGTGGGGAAAATTTAGAGGTCATTCTTTTTTTTCTCAAATCCAACCGTTTTGGTGGCCTTTTCTTTCGGAAAGTGCTACTCTTTGTCTTTTTCAGTTCTTTCGCTAGAAATTGAGGCTTGGGGATGAATGAGAGAAAAGATCCGTAAAGAGATTAACAAAAGTCTTACTATTAGTCATGTTTAAGACGTAAATCCAAGAGTACGGTAGCTTTTCGTGAGAGTATCTTTTAGGAAACGTCTCAAGGAAAAAATAGACCAAATTTTGATAAAAAAACAATCAAATGATTCAGGGAATCTCATAAATAAGAGATGAACAGTTTGAAGATTCCGAATCGGCCCGGCATCGGCCCCGAATGGGAACCGAAAAGGAACCAAATGGCAACTGAATCGGCCCTAAATGGGGAATCTGATGGGAACCGAATAGGAACCGAATCGGCCCCAAATGGCGAATCCAATGGGAACCGAATTAGCCCCGAATCAGTCCTGAATCAGCCCTGAATCAGCTCTGAATCAGCTCCGAATAGGTCCCAAATTGGGCCCGAATCAGCCCCAAATCAGCCCTCAATCGGCCCCGAAACAGCGCCGGATCAACCCTGAATCGCTCCGAATTGGGCCCGAACCGGTCCTGGATCAGCTCCGAATCAGCCCGGGTCAGCTCCGAATCAGCTCCGAATCAACCCCGAATCAGCTCCGAATCAGCTCCGAATTGAGCTCCGAAACGGTCCCGAGTCAGCCTTGAATCAGCCCCGAATCAGCCCCGAATCGGTCCTGAATCAGCCCCGAATCAGCCCGGGTCAGCTCCGAATCAGCTCCGAATCAGCTCCGAATCACCTCCAAATCAGCTCCGAATCAGCCCCGAATCAGCTCCGAATCAGCCCCGAATCGGCCCCGAATCTGCCCGGGTCAGCCCCGAATGAAAAGGTGCCAAGTCTTCAAAAAGGCTCATCAATCTTGTCTTCGCTCACCTCAACATTTCCACTTCATCAAGTGTCGGTGCGCTTTCCTTCAATTGTTGAAGTGCACTCTGCAACTCCTCGTTTTCTCGAAACAATTGCCGGAAAGACGCGTCCACGTCCTCACGGAGACACTACAAGAACATGCAAATTAAAGAAAGAAATGGAAATGATGTGTTAGAAATTAGAAGAAAGTTTGGGACTCTGTTTGCGTTAACTTTTAGCTAAATCAATTTAAGCTCTTGTGTATTTTTGAATTAGTAGGCTGAATGGCTCAGATCTTTGCTCAGAGTTAACATTTTGCTTTGTTTTGCTTTGCTTTGCTATATTTTGATAGAATGGTTTATTGATATATTCTAGGGTATCTAATGAGACTAATTAAAGACACATTGGACGATCAGTCTTGAAAAAATCGGGCTAGGGTCATCAATTTAGTCATCTTCAAATGTTGAAACTTAAGAAAGAGAAAAGTCACCAAAATCTAAATCAAAATCAAATTTAGTATGAAGATTTCAAATAGTGCTTTCCAGAAAACAAGTTTTTAAACTTAAACCTGGAATTTCTTAGCTTTCTTAGAAATTATTGATACGGCAATCAAAAATAAAGATGATGATGAAGAGATTTATTGGGTGAAGAGAAAGTGGTTGGGATAAAAGAAAGAGAGAAAGAGAGAGAAAGTGTTCCCAATTTGTTCCCCAATCAATCTCATCCATTCATCCAAATGACATCCAATTAGTGATCATGGGGATACATCAAATGATTGATAGGGGAAACGGGAAAGATTGTCGGAAAACTTGGACGGGTAAAACTTGAAGAAAGATGAAAACGCTTTGGATCTGGTGCACTGGATTTGTGAATCCTGGAACGCACAGAGATTAATAAATAAGAAAAAATTGCGGAAAGCTTCAAAGGAGCAATTCAGAATTTCGAGTTGGCTTGGAACGAGAAATTGGATTGAAAATGGAAACGCAACGGACCTAGTGCACTGGATTTGTGAATTCTGGAATGCACAGAGGCTAATGGAGAAAAAAAAAATAAGGAAATCGTCAAAGTAGCGGTCAAGTTTTTTGGATGATCGAGTACAGCTAGATTTCAGACAGTTTATAGCATGAAACGCAAAAATACGTCAGTCTTTAGTAGTTCTGGAGCTCACAGAATGGATTGGAGTATCAAAAAATGGGTGGTATCGAGTTTTGACAATGTCAATACAGGTGTTGGAGCTGGAGCCAGAGCTAGGCTCCTTTTTCTCCACCTTCACCCTGATCCGTAACTCCTTACTCACAAAAGCAAGGGTTTATTTGCTTTCACAAAGCCTCTTCAGCTCTTTTCAGGGGTTTCGGCAAAAACTGGGTAGCTCAACAGTGGTAAATTCACTCTCTGCACCCCTCCCGCTTCCCCAAAAACCCTTCTCACCCCAATTTCGGGCTCAGCGGGATGCCAAAAAGTGTTAATCCTTTGATCAAATATTCATTTTGGGAAACACTTTCGCGAAATATTGAAGCAAAATGAGTAAAAACGAGGGCGAATGAGTAAAAACGGAAATTGGCGCCGAGAAAAAGAGATCTAAGCCGAAAATTGGCGATTTTGAAATGAAAAAATTCTCTCCGAAAAATAAAATTGTGATCTGGAAAGCACAGTGGGCAACAAGTTAGAGAAAATAGGAAAATGTTAAATTTTGAGTAGTGTAAGTAGTACATGCACGTAGCTGTTATGTCAAAGTGACGCTTTTTGGGTTGAAAAGTGTCTCAATAGCTTCTGTGACATCCAGATTCGATGTTTTCGCAAAGAAATTTGATATTTGGAGGTAAATTTTTGCCGAAAACGTCACCGACCTCTTCAAAGTCCTCCAAAATCGGGTCCAACGACAGTGAGCTTTCCTCAGAACATGTAGACTCCACAGTGCTCCGATTGTCGTCACCGGGTTCTTCGGACGTTTTTCGGATGCATTTCTTGAGTCGTTTGAATTTTTGGACCATCACATCGTAGCGGCGGTCTTTTTCCTGGAATCGGGAATCAGAAATGATAAAACTCAACTTTTAATTGAGAAAAGCTAAGCCAAAGCTTTCAGTTAGTCAATCTTAGCTTGAATTTTGATGCAGCTAGCTTTGAGGCAAGTTTATAAACAAGTTTTATAACCATCAACGGCTTAGAGTAGTGTGCTAGATTCCAAAACCTATCCCTTTTTGCTCGCGGGTTCAATTCCGCTTGCCGCTTGCCGCATGCTGCCAAATTACTTGCTTTTTTTGAAAAAATTCCGAAAAACTTTTTCTTTGCGGTTCTTTTGCACTTTTGCGATAGTGCTTTTAAAGTAGTAATTAGTTATTTATTAAAGTTTTTTTTGTTTTTGCATAGCTTTCAGAGCTTACGGGTGATTTACTAGCAAACGCCTTTGAAACAATAAATAATCTACTATATATAAAAGAGAAGTGTCCGTCTGTTTGTCTGACCGTCCGTCACATTCTGGATCTTGGCTCCACATTAACCGATTTCGACAGACTTTTTTTTTGATCGATAGGGAATTAAAAATGAATAGGTAAATAGAACAAGTTTTTCTTCAAAAACCCGTAAAAAAATCAGAAAAACCACATGCGCTTTTTTACCATCGGCGGCCCTTGGGGGCGGAGGGCGCGCCCAACCGCCTCGACCACGCCCGGACGTGGTCGAGGTGTTTGGCGTCCCGTCTACCGTCCCAGTATAAATGTCGGTGGTGCTTCGAAGGGTACTAGAGTTGGTTCCGATCTTGCTTTGAAGGATTAAGATATTTGATCCCAGTATTGTTACAGGGGGTGCAGAAAGGGGCGCAGGAGGGGAGAGGAGAGGTGAGGAGAGGAGAGGAGAGGAGAGGAGAGGAGGGGAGAGAAGAGGAGTGAAGGGGAGGCACTACGGGTACGTTCCTACCTTTGGCGGCCCTTGGGGGCGGGGGGGGGCGCCCAACCGCCTCGACCACGCCTGGACGTGGTCGGGGTCCTGGAGGGGGCGCAGGAGGGGGCGCAGGGGGGGAGGGGAGAGGAGAGGAGGGAAGGGGAAGCACTACGAGTACGTTCCTGAGTAAAAATGCGATAACGACAGATCAAAAATCTGAATCCTGTGAAATGTTGTGTGCACTCAAGCTAAGAAATTCGGAAAAAAAATAAAACAATTCTGAGCACTCACAAAAGAGGAATAAGCGCTCGAAGATTTGAGGGTCTGCGCGCTAACATGTGGGCAAATTATCGTAACCTAAAAGGGTCAAATCGCTGCGAAATTGCTGGACTGATTGGGCTGGAATCCAATTTATTTTGCTTTAATAATGAATACAATTAGATTTTTTTATTTTATTAACTGATCATTTATCCTTTAAACAAAGCAATCTACTACAGAAGTGAAAACTTAACTTTTTTGTATCACTCACTGAAGGAATTATCACAAAGTATTAAATTTGGAAAGAACTAAAAAAGTCTAGCGATTTCGCAACCATTTGATCCTTTTGGGTTACGATAATTTGCGCCAGATCCGCGATCCGCCAGATCCGCGATCCGCCAGATCCGCGATCCGCCAGATCCGCGATCCGCCAGATCCGCGATCCGCCAGATCCGCGATCCGCCAGATCCGCGATCCGCCAGATCCGCGATCCGCCAGATCCGCGATCCGCCAGATCCGCGATCCGCCAGATCCGCGATCCGCCAGATCCGCGATCCGCCAGGTCCGCGATCCGCCAGATCCGCGATCCGCCAGATCCGCGATCCGCCAGATCCGCGATCCGCCAGATCCGCGATCCGCCAGATCCGCGATCCGCCAGATCCGCGATCCGCCAGATCCGCGATCCGCCAGATCCGCGATCCGCCAGATCCGCGATCCGCCAGATCCGCGATCCGCCAGATCCGCGATCCGCCAGATCCGCGATCCGCCAGATCCGCGATCCGCCAGATCCGCGATCCGCCAGATCAGACCCTCAAATCTTCGGGCGCTTATTCCTCTTTTGTGAGTGCTCAGAATTTTTTTTATTTTTTGTGAATTTCTTAGCTGAAGTGCACACAACATTTGACAAGATTCAGATTTTTGATCTGTCGTTACAAGTTTTTGTACTTGTAGTGGGAGGGGAGGGGAAGGGGCCCTTTCACTTGAGAGATCAAACTATGCGTTAGCTCCAAAACATCTAGCCAGAAAAACCCGTCTAACCGCTGGTAAACAATAAATGGAACAATAAACGGGAAAATAAATATTTATTTGAACTTTTTATACTTTAAAATCATCTTACTACTGACAAGAAACGTTTTTTTATACTTGTGACAAAAAAAACAAAATTTGGCGGCAAGCGGAATTGAACCCGTAAGGAAAAAAACTGGATAGGTTTCAGAGTCTAGTGCACTATCCCCTAGACCACCGCCAATCGGTGGTAAGTTGAAAAAGTTCTTTAGTAAGTCTAGTTCTCTAGACTAGTCTCTAGAGACTACTGCTTTTTTGACCGTTCGATTTTGTGTCCAATTTAAGTCAAATATGACGGAAATTTAAGCCTAGACGAAAATCGGTGAACTTTTGATTCGCAAAGTGTCAAGTGCAGAGTTCTAGCTATTTTAGCGCCAGCTATTCACCCACCAATCCACTCTGTCGCAACGCGGTGATGCATTTCGAGTGCTCCAAGATCTGTGTCCTCAATCGCTCCAGCTCGTCCATTTTCTCTTGTGGGAACACGCGTTTCTCTCGTAAATGAGCGTTCTCTTTGATCAACCGATCGTGCGAGTCACGCTGGAAGAAAAGTTAGAGTAAAAATCAATACTAACACTAACAATGGTGATCAACGCGTCTTTCATCTCAGCCATCTCTTTTTCGATTCGCTTTTGTTCATGCGAGAGGTTTTTGTTTCGTTCCGCCAACTTTCGATTCTGATCGCCGATCGGTTTTTGTGTTTTTTCCAATTCGACGATTTTCTTGTTCTGAAAGACAAGGTTTTGATAGAGTTTAGAAAATTTTGTTTAGAAATTTGGTTTAGAAATTTTGTTTAGAAGTTTGGTTTGGAAGTTTGCAGGATTCAAAACCTGGACTACACTAGACTGTAGGATTCATGGAGCTAGATCAAAGCTTCATGAAGCTTCATGGAGCTAGACCAAAGCTTGGTACACACTTTACTACAGGTCTAATCAAGGACTGTCATCATCAAGGCAAAGCCAGATCTAAGCCTGACCTGTCCTAACCCAGAAAAATTGTCTTTGACAATGACAAAGACAATCGCAAACACGACAATGTCGGAAGCGCAAAAAGAATTTTCAAGAGAAATTCGTTTTTGCATACGGGAAACTGATTAAAGTTAATAATTTTCTGAAAACTTTTACAACTTGGTTACTTTACGAGATTTTGGGGAGCTGTGCGTGCCAGATCGAACAAAAATGAAGCTTAAATATGTGAATAGTCGTCTTTGGTTTGTATCAAGTGTCCAACTCTGACCGACCCTGTACCCCAGTTCTTCTTCAAATAAATGAAAATGTTTACTTTACGAGAGTTTTGCGTGATGTGACATCCAGATCTTAGAAAAATTAAATAATTACAGCTTCTAGATGTCTCAGGTCCAATCAATTCTGGGGATAAGTGTCGAACTTGAATGCGGTTCTTTCAAAGCTCATCAAAATCGGATTTCTCTAGATTTCTAGCTTGTATGCGCTCCAGATTCTTCAAAAATCAAAACTCCATCTTTTTTAGTTAACTAGGTACTTATGAACGAGTACGCACTAGTTTTCATGGCAGTTTTCCGTCGACCAATTTAAGTCTCAGCTTCCTATTGGCAAGCTGACATTTCTAACTTAGAATTGAAAGGTTTTCGATGTTTAATATTGCAATGAGTAATGAAATCTCGTACTTAAAAGCGCTCACCAAATCTGCTTTGATATTGTTCATGTCAGAGTTGAGCGTCTCCGACAGTGCCAGCCTCTCCTCGATCTCTTCCATCCTCGTTTGCCATCGTTGTCTTTCTCTTTCGTGCTCGTCTTTCATCATCTGAAAATCATCGTATGCAAATTGGGATTTAGATTTAAAGCCATCAAATCACATTCTAGCTATCGCATCAATTTCTTTGAGCAGCTTAAAGAAAAAAAGCCTAAGTTCGACTTTGAGCCCGTAACTCCGTCAATTTTTCTCATTTTCATAAAATCTCTTTTGCATTGGCTTTTCTGGAAAGCACAGGTCAATTTCTGCTTAAATTGTTCAGCTTTCAAGAAATTCGCATATCTGAATGGGATTCCCGGTGTAGCGTTGGCTCGTCGTTCGACGCAATTTCTCCGGTCGAGCGGTCATTTTTCAAAATTTTCGAAAAGGAATGATAAATCTGGAAAGCACAGGTGTATTTGAAAGGAAAAAAAGATCAGAAGCATGAGTTTAAATTTCCGGAAAGAAATTCGCAATTTCGAGGGGAATTGGTAAAATCTGGAATACACAGGGATGGATTTGGAAAGGGAAAAAAGGTTTTTTCAGAAGCTTTTCAAGCGAAATTTATTGTTTAATTGATTTAATTTGTTTATACAATTGGGGAAATTGGGGAAATTGGGGAAATTGATTTAATTGATTTAATTGATTAAATTGATTTAAATTGATTAAATTGATTAAATTGATTTAATTGATTAAATTGATTGATTAAATTGATTAAAATGATTAAAGATTGATTGATTAAAGATTGATTGATTAAAGATTGATTCAGAAATTGATTAAAGTTGATAGTTTTTTTGAATAATTTCTGTTGAATTCTGTCAAAGTTTTGTCGAGAATTTACGGCTTTTATCTCGCACATCGTTTGTCCGCAAATGTGTTTACTTATCGTTAAGTTTTTTGGGGTTTTTTTGTGGAGTTTTTTCGAGTCAAATGATTACTCATTGTCAGAAGTTTTTTTAGGGAAATCGCGAAAAAATATGGAAATTTTTTGGGTAAGAAGCTCCGACAAAAAGCGATAGCAAAAAAGAAGATTTTGTCTACGAAATCAATACGTTTTAACTTTATTATTAGCTAAAAGAGAAGAGTATTACGGTAGTTTAATAAAGAAGTCAAGACATTGGCAAGAAAAAGTAGTAAAAAAGTGATGGAATTGGCAAGAAAAAGTGGATTTCCGAGAGTGAACCCTCAATCTTCTGCTTTCCGGGTAATTGAGAGCAATGGGTCGAACCAGGAATGCAAAAACGAACGCTTAGCGGACTAACAAGACACTTCTTTGTCGTCTGTGCCCGCAGAGGACGTACTTTGACGTACCTCGATGTACATCGATGTACTTTGTACTTCGACGTGCTTTGTACTTCGACGTGCTTTGTACTTCGACGTGCTTTGTACTTTGGCGTGCTTTGTACTTCGATGTACTTTGTACTAGTTTGTACTTCGACAAGCCTTGGAGAGCGAAAAAACGCCAGTTGATTCAAAATTCATGCGTTTGATGAAAACGAAAACTATTGCTCGTTAGCAAAAACGGATTTCACCATTGTTTGCGGGTTTGCATGTTATTTTCAGGTTAAAATCCCACCGCCAGCTCTGATCATTCCCTTGTCAGCAATCCGATCCCTTACTACCTTACTACCTACACCTTACTCACCGACTCACCATCCTTTGCCTTCTTAACTCGCCAGGAGAAAGAGGGAAAGACAAGGTGAACGAAGGAAGAAAGAAAGAGGGAAAGACAAGGTGAAAGAAGGAAGGAAATACCCGATCTTCAGAACCGTCGGCTCCCTTCCTACATGAAAATCAAACCTACTGTATTAGTAATAAAGAAGTGAAGGAGTTGGCAAGAAAAAGTCGATTTTCGGAGAGGGGATTGAACCGTCGACCTAGGATCGGAGAAAAAAGTGCAAAAGCGAAATTCGCGTATACTAGAACTACCGGATATCAAGAAAAGCGAAAAATGGAATTGGCTGTAAAATCAGGGCAACAATTGACAAGTGAAAGGTGCTCGGGAAATGGATGAGTTAAATATGGAAATTCTCCCCATGGAGCGGATATGATTTGATCTCTCTTTTCAAAAGAGAATATGAAAAGATTGACCTAAATGCGATGTGTCTCTAGAATAGATTTGACAATGATTGAAGTCACCGGGAGATTTCGAGAAGGGAAAGGAGTGGAAAGGTGAAAGTTTATCAGCTCAGGCTTTCACCTGTGGATCGTAAATTTGCATACATGATGGTAAAAGCCATTTCTGACTTCTTTAGATCGAAAAGCAGCTTAATGGCCCTTGTGACATCCATAATTGATAATTTTCTGGAAAACGGGATTGTAAGTAGCACATGCACGTAGCTGCTATGTCAAAGTAGCGCTTTTTCGGTTGAAAAGTGTCTCCCATCATTTAAAAGTGACTTCTTTAGGTCAGAAAGCAGCTCAGTGGCCCTTGTGATATCCATAATTGATAATTTTCTGGAAAACGGCACTGTAAGTAGCACATGCACGTAGCTGTTATGTCAAAGTAGCGCTTTTTGGGTTGAAAAGTGGCTCCCGTCATTTAAAAGCGACTTCTTTACGTCGGAAAGCAGCTTAATGGCCCTTGTGACATCCATAATTGATAATTTTCTGGAAAACGGGATTGTAAGTAGCTGCTATGTTTAAGTACAGTCGAACCTCTCTATAACGAACCTCGATATAACGTAAACCTCTCTATAACGTAAGGCGTGACCGGTCCCGGCCGACGTTAAACTATATAAAACGGCACTCTATATAACGTAAACCTCTATATAACGTAAGCTATAGCCGTCCCGTGAGTTACGTTATAGAGAGGTTCCACTGTATGTCTAAGTATAGCTAGTATCCGCGTAGCTGTTAGGTCAAAGTAACGCTTTTTTGGATTAAAAAGTGTCTCGATAGCTCTCGTGACATCCAGATTCGATGATTTCGCAAAGAAATTTGGTAATAGGGCTAATTTTTGCTAAAAAATTCCATCAACCTCCTCAAAGTCCTCCAGAGTCGCCTCCTGGCACACTGAAATGGGTAATGCCAGAAACTGGGTCTGCCAGAAACTGACTCTGCCAGAAAGCGCGCGTTTACGAGCGAACATGAAGTATCGGCCGAGTTTTATCGATTTTTCGTATAAGTTCGTTGAAAAACGGATAAAACTCACATAAATAGTGCCTCCAAAAGCTCGTGGCGGTGTTGGGGTTAGCATTCGGCTGGTTGTCGCAGATCTGGAGAGGAATTTTTGGATGTAAATATGTCAAAAAAAAAACGTCAAAACAATCCGTTTTCAACTCACCGATGCAACGGCGAATCCAAAGTGCTAGCCTTGGGCTCAAATGGGGAGAATGGTCTATAAATTTTGGATATTTTTTGTTTCTCGCATTTTTTGAGCTGTAGTCAGTTTCTCTAAATTGTGCCTTCTCTTTCTCTTTCTACCGTAATCTTGTCTCTATTTTTCTATCATTTTTTTGGTTTAATTCTAAGCGGGGTTTACGAAGAAGATCGAAAGATATAAAAAGTGGATAGATTGGAGAAAAAGTAGAGACAAGATTCTGGTAGAAAGAGAAAAAAGGGGTTTAGGGAAACAGGTACGGTGCTTACTGGATAAAATGGCAAATTTTGAATTTCTGAACTTGAGAACAACCCTAGTGCCTTCCAGAATAGCTAAAACACCGTTTATTGACTATTTGGATTATGGTAGAAAGCGAAAAGAGCACGGTTTAGAAAACGGGTACAGTGCTGTTCAATCAAAATGACAAATTCGAATTTCTGAACTTGAGAACAATCCTAGTGACTTCCAGAATAGCCAAATCACCGTTTACGGACTAATTTGGATTACGGTAGAAAGCGAAAGAGCACGGTTTAGAAAAGGGGTATAGTGCTGCTGGATAAAATAACAAATTTGAATTTCTGAACTTGAGAACAACCCTAGTGCCTTCCAGAATAGCCAAAACACCGTTTATTGACTAATTTGGACTACGGTAGGAAAAGAAAAGAGCACGGTTTAGAAAACGGGTACAGTGCTGTTGAATAAAACGGCAAATTTTGAATTTCTGAGCTTGAGAACAACCCTAGTGCCTTCCAGAATAGCCAAAATACCGTTTATTGACTAATTTGGATTACGGTAGAAAGCGAAAAGAGCACGGTAGGAAACGAAAAGTAGGAAACGAGTACAGTTTTAGGAAACCAATCAAACTCTAATTTCTACCTTGACGAGTTCATCGATGAGGCGATTGATCTCGCGTCCATCGATTGACCTTGCTGCTGTTGATCCTGTAAGTCGAAATTTTCAATTTCTGAAAATTTGACTAGCCTTCTTGCGTAGTGAACGAAAGCCACTACTTCGAAAAACCTAAAATAAAATTTTTTTTATTAAAATGGCAAAATTGTAAGTACTGATATCCATAATTGATCAGAAAGAGTTCAATTTTTCGAAATCGATAAAATTGGAGAAGTTAAACTTATGAACTCATTTGGTGCTATCCAGCATTGCTCGAAAAGTGCTAGGTGTTGGGGAATTGTTTGATTTTTACGGAGAATGAGGTCCATAATTGGTCAAAAGGTGACCGGTTTTCGGAAAACTATACATTTGGAAGAGTTTAGGCTTAGAACTCGTAAAATGCTATCCAGGATCGATGAAAAACAGATAAATTCTTGAAAATCTGTAAACTTCCAAATGCTAAGGTCACAAAGTCGAAACCTTTCATTCACATGGTCTAAAGAAGAAAGAAAAGGCATGGTTTTGAATGGGGTGACAAATGGGATTGCAAAAAAGAATGTCAAAACAGAATGGAGAAAAGGAAGGAAAAAAAAGATTGGCGCCAGTTTTTGTGGCCAAAAGAACGATGGAATGGAAAGAAAGAGAGCGGGTCATCATACACTCGAATATCAACTATCGAGGTCAATCATAGCTAGGGATTAGCAATTAGCATGTCAAAGGTAAGACTAGAGGATATTGGTGGAATCGATGGGTTATTTGCGTGGTTTAAAACCCAGGTCAGACAAGAAGCAGATCCTAGCCTGGCATACAAAAACGAAGCTAGGTATAAGCTGGCTGGACCTGGTCCAAGCTCCAGACCTGGCCCAGGCCCCAGACCAAGCTCTAGACCTGACCCAAGCTCCAGACCTGACCCAAGCTCTAGACCAAGCTCCAGACCAAGCTCCAGACCTGACCCAAGCTCCAGACCTAGCCCAAGCTCCAGACCTGACCCAAGCTCCAGACCTGGCTCAACCTCCAGACCAAGCTCCAGACTTGACCCAAGCTCCAGACCTGACCCAAGCTCCAGACCTGACCCAAGCTCCAGACCTGACCCAAGCTCCAGACCTAGCCCAAGCTCCAGACCTGACCCAAGCTCCAGACCTGACCCAAGCTCCAGACCTGGCCCAGGCTCCAGCTCCAGAACTGACCCAAGCTCCAGACCTGGCTCAAGCTCCAGACCAAGCTCCAGAACTGACCCAAGCTCCAGACCTGACCCAAGCTCCAGACCTGACCCAAGCTCTAGTTCAGATTGGAACCGTGTTCACTTGGTACTAACAACTAAATCCAGATCTTTTCTGAGCTGGTTTTACTCTAGAACAAGTTTAGGTCTGGCATGGTCCTGACTGCTGGCCAGACTCTAGAGACTCAGCGTGGCAAATTTCATTGGTTAAGCTTAAAGTTAACTTAAAGAATTACCTAAATCTTACTCTTAAAGCTTAAATTCATCAAAAAAAGCTATAAAACTGATTACAGTCTGAAAATGAACTAAAAAAAGTTTGAATAATGTTGCGTGCCAAGGGTTTTTTTGAGCACATCTTCCAAGCCTTTAATAAAAATCTTAAAAGCATTCTACAATTTGTATAAAAAAATTCTCGATAGAAAATTATCGCAATTTTCATAATAAAAAGGAATAAAACCGGTTCGCGAAGTTACAGCCAAGATATAGCCGAAAAACTATGCGATAAATTGCGGTGCTTGCCGCTTGCCTTGTGCTTGCCTTATAAACCCAGCTCAAAGCCTTTTTCAAGAGTCTAGATAAAACCAAAAACCGTGGCCAGTCAAGAAATGCCAAACTATTGACTGAATCTTGCAAATGGTGGTAGGAAAAGGTTGGGAAAATCAAGAAAAACTGTTTCCAAATAAAAATAGCTCAAAAACGCGCGTGATGCGACAACCAGATGGTGGCTTGGCTAAAACCCAAAAATTTGCGATATGATTGATGGAGAAAAGGGAGACCAAGACCCAGAAAAAAGGAAAAGAAAAAGAAGAACAAAAAGGCCCGATGTTCTGTGGATGGAGTGATTGAAAGGGAAAGGAGGGGTCAATGGGTCATTTGAGAACAACGAAACGACGATTAAGTGATCAAGCTCCTAAAAAAAGGAAGAAATAAAGTTCTGAATCGTTCGATCTGGAGCACACACTACTCAATTTTATCAAGAAATTATGAAAATCATCGGAAAACTAGACTTGGTCCTGATGAAATGAAACCCCAACCCATTCTGTATCCAAAAAACCCCAAAATAAAAATTTGTACACTTTCTATTCGATCTGGATAGCATAGTGCTGAAATTCAGCAAAAAAAAATGGAGAAGTTAGATTTTTTTGGTTGTTTTGGATGGCACCCACGTCAAAACTGGGTAGGGTACAAAACTGGTTTACAAAAAAATTGTTTAATAAGCTGGATCTCCAAAAATCTCCCCTTTCTGTCATCCAGATATGATTTTTCGGCGAAAAGTTTGTGGATCGGCGGGCACCAAAGTGTAAATTTCTTTGCGATCTCATTTCCTTTTCCCCTTTTTCTCTTTCAGTCGATCTCTTTATTGACTACCAATCGGCCAGGGTGTGTGGGAAAGCAGAAAAGGGATAAGGAATAAGAATAAGAAAAGAAAAATGGGCAAGGATGGGATTTTTTGAAGGACTTCAATTTAGAGGATCTGGGTTTTGATCTGAAAAATAAAAGCAGAGAAGAAGGAAAGAAGGGGACGACCGAACAACTACCCCCGCCACCCAAGAATCGCCACCCAAGAAATTGAAACTGACTAATTTCAAAATACTGCAAAAGCTTTTTTTGAACAAAATCCTGGACAGCACGAGAGCCATCAAGCGAGAACAGGCGTTCTCAAATTTTCCCAGACTCGACTAGTGCAAGTCCGCGGAAGATTTATGACCACTCATCTCAAGCTTTCGAAAAAGAACACCCAGCCGCTAATGGACGATTTGGTGATCATGGATCTCACAACACAAAAAGAGGGAACAAGTTTTGTGGGGCGAAGAGATTTTCGAAAAAGTGATGAATGGAACCATTCTTCAGAGTGAAAATGTTAAATCTAAATTTTGGAAAATTCCAAAATCATTGCCAGACCAAAACCAGAATCCAAAATCATTGTCAAAGTGCTAAAAAGTAAAAATTATCTATCAATGCTATCCATAGCTTCTAAAAAATGTCTCGGTTGACTGAATATTCGATTCTTTGTCCCCGATCACTCACCATCGCAAATCGGTGAGTCAAGCGGTGGTAGCCGTTCGCCCCGTTGGCTGCACTCGTTTCAATAACGCTTCCAGTCATGCTATGACCTCCAGGAATCGTGATTTTCAATAGAAAATCCAGTGAATAGCTTCTTAAAGCAGTAAATGACTACGGTAGTGTCAAATCAAGGTATAGCAATTTCCAGAAATTTATCGATTATCTTTCAAATCTTGTTTCAAACTAAAGTATGCGTTCCAGGATTGAGTAATTTTTTGTAGAAACTTCTAGAATCTCAGAGAAATTTTGAGTTTTAGCTTTCAACTTATTCTAGTAGGTCGAATTACCTTTTTCTCAACGTTTTCTGTTAGTACAATACGAAAGTAAATATTGGGGAAATGTTTGGAATGAAGAAATGAATGGGAAAGGGATTAATTGAAATGGAAAAATTGAGGAAAAAGCAAGCAGAGAGGGGAATTTTAGATTTCAGACAAGATTTTGATAGCTGTTAAATTGAGGCTTTTGAGTTAAATTGAGGATTTGGGCTTTTTTTTAGTAAAAATCAGATTTTCGAATGGAATTTCGACAATATAGAATTCAGAGAACTGAAAAAATAAATGAAATTTCAAAAGCTGACATGAAAACAAAGATTTCCTTCTCAGCTTTTCCTCAAGATTTCCTCAAAACAATCGAATTTTGCGATCAAGACGCGATTCCGGGATTTACGAGACATTTGCATGCTCGAATCTCGAAGAAATCGCATAGAAAAACGAGAAAACGATGATTTTAGCATTTTCCGATCGCCGGGAACGATATCGAATATTGGATTTGATCAAAAAGAGGAAAAGAAAAGGAAAAACAAATGTTGAGTGTGCTCTGAGATATCGAAAATGAAAAGCTTTTCAAAATCCAATTTTGATTTTTTGAATTAAATTGTTTCAAAGGAGAAACTAAATTCCTTTTGAAAGTCGCATGTACTTTGTGCGCTCACATACACGCTCACTTTCTGACGTACGCCCGTCATTTACGCTCACAACCCCGGAAATTCCCAAGGCACAAAGTATCATTACTGAGCCTATCAAAATATTCAAAAAACCCTATCAAACCGCATCAAAATAACCGGCGAGGCGTTCTTTGTGCGGCCGTGTAATCTGAAGATGGTCCTTTTAACATTAATGGAGATATTCAATTAACAAGCTAAATATTTAAAGCGATTGGAGAAATCTTCTCCTTCTTTCAAATTTCATCGTCGCAAAGCCTTAAAATATTTAGAATTCTAGAATTTCCCAATTTTCTCAACCAAACGCCATTTCTTAATGCAAAATGATTAGAATGTGACAAATCTGGCATATTTTGCGTACTAGACGACGTACGACCGTACGACCGCGTACGACCCCATCTTAAAGCGCCTCACCTGTTTAAAATATTAGTTTTTTAATTCATTTGTCTAGATCTCAGTGTTTTTGTGCTGTTTTTAACATTTTTCATACCATACCGTGCCAATCTCACCCAATAATGTAAAAAATAGACTTGGGTTTTGTGAAATTCCACTAGAATACATGATTTTATGCTTATTTCTTGCGTTTTCTATCTTTTTTTGGTACTAGACCCGTGTAATGGATCACTTTTAGCATTTTCACAAATCTCTTATTGGAAATTCATCATTCACGCGTTTGAAAACAAACTTTTACTATTAAAAATGCTGAAAGTGATCCATTGCATTGATCTGCTCCTTACAAAGAATATTTCTTTTTATTTACAGGTAGAATGGCGCCAATCAGGATGTGGAATATGACAACATTTCCAATCGAACGTCTTTGCTTCGATCTGAAGTTGGAGGTTTTGGAGCAATTAGACGCAAGAGATGTGATTGAATTGGTGAAAGTCAATCAAGGATTCCTATGGATGATTTCGAGTCGACCATCGACCGTTTTCGGGCACGATGTCCATGATATTCAATTTGGGTTTGGTCCACGAGGAATTAAAGTAATCAACATCAAGAAGCTGAATGGGAATTCACTTAAAGTCAGTCTGGATGTCATTCGTCATTTTCCTTTCAGCAAAAAGATTCGATCGTGCAATCAATTGTTGATGGGCATGGATTGCAGCTACAGCCCAATCGACAAGGATTACGCCGCCTTTCTGAAACAACTTCAGGCCGTGAATTCACTCTATTTGGATTGGTGTCCGGCTCAGCACCTGGAGTTGCTTTCTCATTTGGCAGTCAAGATCAAGAGATACGCGGCTCTTCCCAGCTTCCTTCAAAAAGTTCCATCAATAAAAGATCTTGTTAGGGATTTCATTGAGACTCGACTCAACGAATGTGAAATAGTCATTTTTGGCTGTAAGGATGATGATGAACTTCAGTTTTACTACAATGCTTTTATAAAGACCCGCATCAAATATGTTGTAATCGATTGTTACGACGAAAATCTCATCGTCGCAGCTATTCAAACGATTGTTAGCCACGGAATTCCAAGCAAAAACCCTGCAGTGGTTGTGAGAATTAGCGACGATTTTGTATACTATAGGAAGGCTACAATCGTTGTTTTTCTCAAGGGGTATCCAGGAATGAAACAAATCAGCAGGAAAAATCGCCAACCATTTATTGCATTGGCAAACGATCGTAGGAGGGGAAGCAGATATCCCGCTTTCACGATGAAAACTCTGTGTTTCCGACGAAATATCAATGCGACCCGAGATTGCATCTACATGTTGTCCTTGCTTGAATTTCTCGCCTTCTACATCAAGCCGGATGAAATGATCGATCATTGATGTTTTATTGTTATACTTTGCTGGCCTTACATTGCCTTTGCGTGCCTTAAATCCTGTTTTTTTCTTGAAGCTAACATTAACTAATCTCAAACTCCGAGATTTAGCAAACCGAAACTTTTGGGAGGTTAATGCCAGTTTTTCATGAGTCTTTCTTGTGACTAGTTGGTTATTTATTCTTTCTGTCGACTACATCTTTGAATTTGAAATTTAATCTCCGAGAATCTGGATTTAGATGTCTGAGGTTGAATTTGTATTTAATTCTCTTCCCTGAGATATTTGAATTTGACTTAATTTCTAAAACTTCTTTGCAAAATTCCTAAACTAAAATATAATTTCAATTCTTTTCTGTTCGCTTATGTTTTCTAAGCCAAAAGCGTATGTATTTACACATTCGGCTCACTTTTTTCATGCACCATGAATAAAGTATGATTTTTGTCAAACCCAATACCCAGAGTTTGTATCTCTTTTCATTGTTTCAATTCTTCAACCAATCGTATGAAGGTCAACTCGAAATCATCGAGGGAATCATCTAAATTTCGGTATTCAAATAGCTTTCTTCTTTATTTTTAATAGCCAACACTACTTGCAAGTACAAATAATTTATAAGGAACGAAAAAAAATGTATTTATAAATATGTCCACGTATGCGACCGGAGATTGCGTCTACATATTGTCCCCGGGCAGATTTGACATCGAATTTTTTGATCTTCTACATCAAGCCTGATCATGCTGACACATTATACATTGATTAAGTTGTGGAATTCTCTTCTAAAGCAAATTCGATTACTTTCCGTTCCCTTTTTGTACAAAAGATAGTTAAACAAAACTAATCTGATAGAGCTTTCTTCTTCTGCATTGTCCTGATCCTTATTGTTTTGCCGTGATTACTTTAGTATTGGTGAATTTTGTTTGAAAACTTTTTTGTATAGGTGATTTCTTTTATTGTCATTCGATAAATCTCATCACCCCACTATTTCACTTGGAAGCTTCCTTGTTACGAGCTCTCTTTTCATTTTAAATACATTTTCTATTTTAGTTATGGCGATTTGTGACTGTCTGGACGACGTAATTGATCTGCAAAGTTTGCCGCCGCTTCCGGGCTCTGACGAACTCTGAATCGGTTTCAAAATTGGTTCAACCTGTGTTACTCCGAAGGAAAGGGATCAAGTCTGTTTGCATTGTGGTTTTGATTCTGACAAAGCAACGGTGTGTATACTAGATTCTCTAAATCGATCAGATTTTTATGCCTCCTCAGATTCTGACGAAGATTATGACATCTTTTGCGCTAGTCTCCTAAAATCGATGCGCTAGTCTCCTAAAATCTCCACATTTTGAGAACTAGAAATGGACTAACCGATTTTTTTTGCCGTCGTTCCTATTATTGAAAACCCTTAATCGACCCTCTGGTTAGTAAGGAACTGAATAAACTCTCGAAATATTGTCGTAAATTTGAGGAGAATATTGCTAGGATAGGCTTGTTCTTTGGAGAATAGACTTGCTCTTTTTGAACTAAAAACTTTACAACATCGTCGCTTTGTCATTGATCTACTCGAAACTTACAAAATCCTGCGTTGCAAGCAGATTAGCCCTTTGTTTGTTGAATTTTTCAAATTTAAATCGAGTTCAGGGTCCAGAAGTGGTTCATTCCTTTTGCAGATTCCTTTGCGTCTGATGCTTCTTTATGAAACTCATTTCCCGTTAGAGCCGCTAGGTTATGGAACTTGCTCTCAGATGGCATACAAGAAATTCAGTCACTTTCCATTTTCAAGAAATAAATCTATGCTCTGGATCTAACGCCTACTTTTAGCCTCTCTAGCATAGGTAATCCGATTTTTTGCATATTCACTAAATTTAGCATCTTCGTATCTTTCTTTTGTATCTACTTTTAGGCATGTCGGGGCATGGCATGGGATCGCGGGACATTTCTTCAATGTTTACTGTATTTACATTATTGACTGAGAACTTTGTCAAATTCTAATCATTTTGCATTAAGAAATGGCGTTTAGTTGAGAAAATCGGAAAAATCTAGAATTCTCAACAATTAAAGAACACCTCCCTAGTCATTTTGATAAGGATTTTGCTTTCGCTTTGAAGATGGCACAAAAGGAAGCCATCCACCTCTAATTTTGTACTCGGGGGTTTTCGAGGTCGGTGAATCGAGTGACCGATTTATTTTGCTTTATCTGTCAAACAAAACCTCTAATTTGTGTTGATGGGCCTTGATAGTGTGACGAAACCGTTCAAAAACCCGTTTAAGTCTGTTTACTGAATAAAAAATTTACTTAAAATTACTTGAATTGACGATAAAATTGAAGGATTAGGTCAATTTTGAGAGAAAAAATAGCTTTTGAACCAAAGCCAACACCTTCAACGGAAAATTGCTGGCGGAAAACTATGGGAAAGCTTTGAACGGCTCAAGATTTATACGATTTTCTGCCTATTCAATCGATCACCATATTCTTGGTCGAATGCTTTGGAACACTGGAAAAAAAATTCAAAGGTTAGGGTTGTTTTATTAATCATTAATCATCACCAATGAACCCCCAAATTTTCAGTTCAAAACGCAAATCCTGTGAACGGAGGAACCGAGGCAAAAGAAAAGCGATCGGCAATGCGAAAAACCTTGATGAAGCCTAAAAACATGAGTTGAAAGTTAACCGTCGCCGGAACAAGCGGCGATATTGATATTCCGTTACTTGACATCACAAGTTACTGTTTAAGCAAAGACGAGATTTCACCATATTTGTCTCCTGAGGATCCCAGATTTGATAGCGGTTGAGTTTCGTCCTCGGCAACAATATGATTCATATTTTTGACAATCCATCAATCAAAAATCTTGGCTGAATGATTAGAAACATTAAAAAGAATTCCAAAAAGTTAGTTTTTCTTTGCCAAAAATCCAATTTTCAGAAATGACACTTGCCTTTACGGGACTGGCTGTAGAACCACTCATTTGCTTGGCAACGATCTCCACTTGTGGCCCAAAAGTTGATTTTAAACCGAAAGAGAGAATTAGGCTAAAGAATTAGGCAATTTAGATTCCCAACTGTGCCACTGTACAGTTCCAACTTTCAGCCGTTTTCTGTATTTGTCATCGCGTTTAAACGTGTCTATTGAGCGTCCCATTTGTCGACGCCATCTTCAGAATATCATGTTTCATGCTCAGATCTCATCGTTGTTTGCTCTGGCTTTCACCAAACCAAATCGCATGTTTTGTGCAAAGTTTTTTCCATTTCATAACTCATTAGAATGCAAATTATGTAATACTTTAGATTTCCAACCATCAGGATCAGTAACTGGCCATTCTGGCGACAGAGTTCTAGCTGTAGATCTGAAAATTTTTATCTAGCGGTTTTTTGGAGTCATGGTTCGAATGCGGTTTTAGTTTTCAACTACAGTAACCCCTAATGGAAACAGTAGTAGCGCCTACTTTAACTGGAAAATGGATTAGAACAAGCTGAAAGTGCGCACCAGTGGGTTTTCCGGAACGGAAAAACCGAATGCGGCCGAAATACCTATGCAAACACTACATTTTGTGTTGCTAAAGCAAAGCTGGGTAATAAAACCGAAAGTGATCAAAATGATGAGGAACTTTTTACTTTTATAGTGCATATATTTCAAAACCCTGTACCAGAAGCTGCGCGCTTACCTCAACATGAAACTCTCAGTTTTTTGCATAAACGCACACGGTGGAGGCAAAATTCTTCCCAAGAATTTGGGGATAATGACGCCCAAAGAGGCGAAGCCGGCTCAGTCGCTCACGGCTCCTTCGAGCCTTTGGTGATTCCAAAGTGTTTCATTGAATCCGCCAATATGAACATGGGCTGCCAATTTTGGAACGCACAGAACACATTGACAATGATAAATTGATCAACACTGTTCAAATCCTCTGAATTCCTTTTCTGAGCTCAATTCTGGAACACATGAAACCCTTTGGAAGTCATTTATCGATCGAGAATTAATTCCCCATCAATTCCCCCAAATTCCAGTCGGGACCCCGGGGCAGATGCGTTTTCGATATAAAAAGTGGCCAAATCAACAATAATTTCCCAATTAGTGTCTTTTTAGGAAATTGATCTCGACGAGCCGTTCATTGTGAATTTCCCTATAGTAACCCTTGTAAGAATTCTGGCCGAAGTGATTGGAAACCCAAGGCTCCAACACAATTCATTGTGAATTTCCCTATAATAACCTTGCAAGAATCCAATTTCAGATGAAGGGCTTTTTGGTGAACTGAACTGCCTAAAAGTTTTTCAACTTTTCTGGCCAACCTTGGAGATCCACGTTGCGACCCACCTTGGAGATCAAGTCAAGATTCTGACAGATGCGTCAATCAATGCCCAAAAAGCTTCGTACATCTCTGAGGTGGGATCTCTGAGCTGCCGATCGAACAACCAATAAAGTATCTCAAAAAGATTGAGTCAATCCATTCCTTGAACAACGAATTTGGAGGTCAAACAACAGAATTTTGAATTCAACTTGTTACGGCTACATAAAACCCATTAGAATGGCGATAT